TATATATATATATATATGCTAGCATTTATACATATATTTGCTAGCATTTATACATACATATATATATATAATTTGCTAGCAAAACACTCATGTACCTAAAATAAAAGTAAATTAACTAAACAAATTTTAAAAACAAGACCAAATAGACTCCTATGTTTCTACTTTAGAAACAAGGAGAAAAAGAGGAACCAGCAATTAAGACAAGAGAAGAAAAATCAAAGAGAAAATGATGATGATAGAGCAGCAAAGAACTGCAGGAGAGTATTTAGAGAGAAGGGGCCAGTGTAACTGAAATATGCCACCATCAGGTTGATTGGTATATTCAGTATGGTAAAGAAGAATAAACATCACACATTTATAGAACATCAGAGACCTGATCAGAGATCATCAGGTCACTTATAATCTAAGTGGCTTTCAAGGAATTACATTGAAAACTCCAATTGTAGGAGATTAAAGAAGTGTGAGAAGGGAAATAAATTTAAAAGAATTAAAAAGAAAGGAAATACATATGAAGTTTCTCATTGAGTTTCATGTCTACATATTTATGGATAATCTATAGAAACTTCTAAAATCTACAAAGTCCATACTTATGTTTCTCAGACCAAGTCCATGGCTCCTTGTTGTGGTGCATGCCTCTAATCCCAGCAATTGGGAGGTAGATACAATATGGATCAGAAACTTAAGGTCATACTTGAGTTTACAACATGAGTTCAAAACCAACCTGGGTTATATGATTCCCTGTCTCAAAGGGAAAAAAAAAAGCAAGTAAAACAAGTTTTAGCCTAAATGGACAAAATTTGTTTTTAAAATGTGGCTACTCTTGAAGAGAACCTGGGTTCAACTCCTGACACCTACGTGAACTCTAACAACCATCCATAACTTCAGTTCCAGGGGAATTCGGTGCCATCTTCTGACCTCCACGGATACTGCACAACATGGGTTCACTTACACATATGCAGGTCATACACTCATATGCAAAAAATAAAATAATAAATAAAATATTTGGGGGGGGCTTTTTAAGACAGGGTCTCTCCCAGCTGGCCTGGAACTCACTAATAAAAATAAACAAAATATTTTTTTGGGGGTGGGGCTTTTAGAGACAGCATCTCTCTGTAGCCCAGGCTGGCCTAGAACTCACTATATAGATCAGGCTGGCCTTGAACTCACAGAGATCAGCCTGCCACTGACTCCTGAGTGCTGGGATTAAAGGCATGTGCCATCACACCCAGTTAAATAAAATATTTTTTAAAGGAATTCTGGTATAGACTAGTGACAGAATAGTACAGTCCTTTATAATTACTATTGTGTTTTACTAGGAAAATTGAAAACATACAAACACAGAGAGTGCCGTGCTATTAAAAATCCTTGCGAGTGTAAAGAGAATGCCTATAAATAATCACAAAAAATAAAATCTGAACTTATATTTTTACCATGAAAAATAACAAGATTGTCTGGCTATTAAGATATGCAGACACATTTGTCTGAAAAGCAGTAGGTTACTGAATTCTTTCCTTGTTCAGTGATGGCTGTGGCAAGGCACAGTCATCACTTCCCAAGGTTCTACACAATACATGATCATTAACTAAGATTTTTTAGCAACATAGCTCTAGACTTATATTAGAAATCTGAGTGCACCTGAGTCAAATAAGACATAAATTTTCAATTCTCACTTTATTAAAATTTACATTTATAAGTGATACTAACAATGATATGATTTGCAATATTAGAACTTACTGAGAGCAAAAACTTCTAAAATAGTGACCCATTTGAAAAATTATTCTTAATGTTCATTTAGATAAAAATTAAATATTAAATCATTTAGTATAACAATGGAACATATAAACTGACTGCAAAAACCAAACTGAAAGGAGATAGTTTATTAACCAAATAGCTTGATAAAAGACTCGTCATCCATAACTTAAATGAAAACTTGAAGACAGGCAGTACTACCAAAAAATCATCAAATAAAGAACAAAATACAACAAAAGAACAGTTTTAAACATATAATTTAGACTCAATAGATACATTGTAAATGACCTAATTTTCATAAGAAATTGAAGGTTTCTCATGAAGAAGTAACTAAAGACATTAAAACAGACATTTTCAAGTTTCAGTGAATATAAAGGTTTTAGAGCTATTGAGTTGAGAGTTTTCATCTCTCAACTTCATTGTACCTTTTCTTTTTACCAAGAATTTTTGTTTTCTTTTGTTTTGTTGAGACAGGACCTCCCTGTAGCCCCAGCTGGCCTGGGACTCACTATGCACATCAGGCTGGCCTCAACCTCACAGAGATCTGCTTTGCTTCTGCCTCCCAAGTGCTGAATTATAGGCATGCACCACCATGCCCAGCTTTTTTTTTCTTTTTATCAAGAATGTAAACCAGCTTTAGCTAACAGATGAAGTCATGAAGCATTAAACGACACAATAAAAATCAAACTTTTGAAGAAAATGATCAATAGAAAGATTTTAATACACCTTTCCAGGGGTAAAATAAGTCTCCGTTGTCATTTAAAGTTCTTATTCTCTGTTGAGAGTCCTACTGTAAAAGAATTTTATTTGTGTTTTGAACTCCCAGGTCTCTTTCAGTCTCCTTATCTCCTTCAGGTTTAACACCTTCTTAGAAATGTACGTCTATTTCTCTCTACAAATAGCAGTTTCATTAAATCTATCATAAACATACAAGCAAGAACACCAGAATAAACATTATGTAATCATTATATATCAATACTTACCAAATTAGAATACTTATTTTAGACCCCGTTTTAACTGGAAATAGCCATATCGCATTAAGCACATGATATCTGTCCTTGCAAACAGATAACAAATTATCAGTATGGAAGATGCCTTTCAAACACTGTTTTCCATTTTGGAAGTGCACATTTTAAAAACTGTTATACTGTGGATAATTAAAAATAGCTATACCAATCAGCAATTTATATTTTGGTTAATTTTTTAAAATTTATTATTTTTATTTTATGTATATGTTTGTATTGCCTGCAGGTAGGTAAGTGCACCTGTGTTGTACAATGCTTGTGGAGGACAGAAGAGGCTGTAAGATTAAGATCCTCTGGAACTGTAGTTATGGACAGTTGTTAGCTGCCATGTGGGTGCTGGGATTCGAACCTGGGTCTTCTGCAAGAACAGTCAGTGTTCTTAACTGCTGAGTCATCTCTCCAGCCCTATTTTGGTCAATTTTTAAATTTAACAGAAAGGAAGAGGAAATGTATTAATAATAACCATGTTATAATAAGCCTACCACTAAGAATTTCAAAATGAGGCTACAAATATTTCATAGAAAATATTTTACCAAATTTCATACTTTGTACAGATTGAAAATATTTTCCACTTCAAAGTGGCACAATTTTTGTCTTTTGTGTATGTGTGTGTGTGTGCTTCCCATGTTGGTGCATGTGCATGTAGAGACCAGTGTGTTTTTCAGTTGCATTCTACCTTGTTTTTTGAGATAGGGTCTCTGAACCAGGAGCTCACTGATTTGGCTAGACTGGCTCCTAGTAAGGTCCACCTGTCTCTGTATCTGTGGTGCTGGGTTCACGCATGCAAAATGCCATACCTGGCTTTTCCTGTTACTCCAAGGAATTCTGCGTCAGGTCCTCATGATTGTACCACACACATCACTGACTACAACATCACCACAGCCTTTCCTTCATTTTTGAGGATAAGTTTTCTCAGTTTTGATTTAATATGTCAAGTTGTTAATATCGTGTTATTTGTAAGCTGACGTGAAAATGAATTTAAGACAACTAAGTACAATACAATCCTAGCAAATCTTTTCACTAGACACTAAAAACAACGAGGAACACTGAGGGGAGAGACCGTCACTGCTCTGCAGACACTCTACTATAAAGTGAAGGAATAAGCAGAACAGAAGGTCACAGGCATTTAAGAAAAAATATAGCAAGAACCAAAATAACTAACGTGCCTTTTCATGATTACTGCATCTGTATTACAATGAGACAGAACTGATAAAATGAATACTTGCCTCAAGTTCTGGCTGAGGACATTATCTTTCTTCTCTTTTGTATTAATGTTCCTAAGTATCCTTCAATTTCCAAACATTTACATAACATTCAAGGAGTGTCAGTTCTCTGAGTTACAAACACCACAACACATTTTTAAAGTATTATAATAAATATTTATACAAAGAAAAGGCTGGCTTAATTTTTCCTGTTAGAGTGGTCGGTTTTTTTTAACTATAAAAGGCAGTAACATAAAAACAGGAAGAGAATGAGTATGTACCAAAAGTTATTACTATACCACCACTCTAAATCCAGAAAATACGTTGTTTTCATGTACACATACATGAAATAAAATAATACCATAACAGAAGGGTGCTGTGTCTGTGTTTAAAGAAGGGGCTGTTGGCAAACAGCACAGCTCACTTGTGCTGAAATGTACACAACTGATATATGCAGCAGAGAAAGCTGGCACCACAGGCTTACAACCTTAATTTGCCTGCAAGAAGGATCAGAGATTTACCTTCAGAGCACGTTCCTGATTGTTTTCAGCAGTCAGATATCTCATGTTGTTTGCTGAAGTCTGGTTCTGCTCTTTGAGATGATGAAGCTCCTGCTCCAGCCGTTTGCACTGCCACAGGGGAAGAATCCCATTAAGTAAAGGAGTCAGAGCATTTTTTCACCAAGCCATATGAATTAATGTAAATAATACCACTGCATTCTCTAAAACACAGGGGTTCTTCTGAAACAAGAATGGTAAACAAAAGTAATTTTGATAACGAAGTAATAGTATATTATAGTATTAGTTATACCATTTTGGTAATTCCATTACAATTTTCAGTTGGTCTTATTAATCCAAATATTAGATCACAAAATACTTAGCTTTATAAAATTAAGGTCAAACTATATTTAAAACTATTCACTGATCAAACAGTTCTGGTTATATGTTTGCTGAACTAAAAGCATGAATTTAAAAAACACATTGAATTCACAATAAAATATAATATATTCTATGATCAACTTTATTACTCTTTAAAAAATAAAAATATCTATTAGACACTCATGTTACATAATAATTGCACAGGTTGTAAACTGTTATGCTACACATCAGGATAATAAGAAATTACAGTGGGACATTAAAGGAATAAAACATGAAAGCCACGGTTCAGGAAAGAAATTAGAGGTTACTCTTTATTCTAAATCAGGGTGTTTAAGCAACAACCAATAAATGCACATACCGATTCAATATCTTGAGACTGCTCTTTACAGATATTTGACAAATGATTATTTGCCATAATGAATAAAAATCATTAGTTTTTATAGTTCAGTCAAAATGCAGCTATAATCAAAATGACTGCTTTATACTCTGACGTCCATTACAATGTCATCTCTATCAGTATTTTCTTAAAGTAACATAAAATCTTTTAAAAAGAAAAGTCTTAACAGATCCCTGATGTTGATTTAGATTACATGATGTTTATATACAAATATAAAACTGATAATACACAGCTCATGCATACAAAGTAGTTATGAAACCTAAGCATATTTACAAGTAATCTAAAAAAACCAAGACATTTCAAGTTTGTATTAATTGAATTTAGCTGCATGTTTTGTTGAAGCTAAATTTTAGGGAGCTTGTGAGATGGCTCAGTGGATAAAGCATTTACTGCATAAGCATGAGATTCCAAGCTTGAATGCCCAGAGCCCACATAAAAGTCAGATTTGGTAACATGTCTGTGATCCCAGTGCTCCTATGGCAAGATGGGATGGAGACAGGAGAATCCCCAGAAGCTTGCGGTCTACTTAGCCTGCCTCAAAATGGTGAATGGCGAGAACTGACAACTGAGGATGCCCTCTGAGCTCCCCATTCTGTGGCATGGGTGTGACTACACTCATACATGTGAACACATAAACATACAAGGACAGCATTCTGCAAACATGATACAGCACTCAACGATTCACTGGCAGATCTTTTCTCTGCATTGTGATGTGTAGCAGCTTACTTCACCAACCATGTTTGTTTAATTGTAAGGAAACTATAATCTCATTCTTTGAACTGTCCTTCATGGTGATTGTGTTCTCAGAGTGTGCTTTTGCCATGCTCATTCCTTTGGCCCTATTCACTTGTATGTACATTTGTCAAACTGCTTCTGTATTTTCTTTTATTGAATAACCCAAAATTTACTATTCCAGGGCAGGTTTAAATGATAATATCCTAGTTTGTGGATTCTCATCCTAACAGTTATGCAACTTGAGGTCTGAATTCTCATATAACAGAAGTTGAACCTTTTAATTGCTCAGTGTAATTTCCCCTTCTTTGCTCTGCCTTGGCCAGAAACAAGCTTCTTATGATCTATGAACCAGCAAGTTGTCTATTTTTCTAGATTTCTATTCACTGAAGATGTGTTTTTACTATGGTTTGACTATATGCAAGAACCTACATTAATAGCCATATATATCATCAGTCTAAGTAAGGACAACAAAATCCAATTTCTATCATTAGAAAGTATGCCTGATATTTAGCTCCAGTTAAGTGGTATATTTGTAGTGAATTAGATTTCCTTTGAACTTTCAACATCCACACTCGTTTTAAATTTTTAAACATTTATTTTATTTTATGTGTATGAGTGTTATGTCTGGAGGTATATAAATGTACCATGTGTGCGTAATGCCCACAGGGGGTCAGAAGATGGCACTGGAGCCCCTGGAACTGGAGTTAGAAATGGTTATTAGCCACCATAAAGGTACTGGGAACTGAAGCAGAGTCCTGTGTGAGCAAATAGTGCTCTTAACCTCTGAGCCATCTCTGCAGCACCAGCACGCATATTCTTTCATTCTTCTACAAAGAAAACACATGTGTTGGGGTAGATGTGGGGGGGGTACTCTCAGACCAATTTTTTCATGACCAAAGTGATAATTTTTGATAAGAAAAACAAAACTATTTTGTAATGAAGGTATTTCTCCATACTGTATTCTGGGACTGAGTTCCCATGGCCATACAGTACAAGAGGGGCAGAAAAAGGGGGCTAGATGACCTGAAGTATCAAAAGTCTCAAAGGGCTATACCTCTCTGTTTGAATTAAAACATACACATCAAATACTGGAGATATGTGCCTATATGAAGTAGTACATTGAGTAATATTTCTTCAGTTTGCAACCATTTCCTTTTAAAATAACATGGTTATAAACAACAAATAATCCTGAGGTGTGGGGAAACAGCTGAGTGGGTAAAGTGCTTGCCTCATTTAGTATGAGGACCCGAATTCAATCCCCAACACCCACATAAAAAGCTAGGTGTGCTGGCATGTACTTGCAATCCCAGCACTGAGGAGGCAGAGACAGGCAGAGCCCTGGGACTAATTGGCCAGCCAGCCTACTCTACTGCGTGAGCTCCAGGCCAATGAGAGGCCATGTCTCAAAAAAAAAAAAAGTTAGGAAGCACCTGAAGAACAATACCACCTAAGGTTGACCTTGGAGATCCACACAGGGGCACATACAACCATGTACACACATGAACAGGTGTTCTCCCACATGCACATATGTACACAAAAATATCTTCTTTGCTCATACTGTTTGACATTAATTTCCTTGAATTTAATTCATAAATTGAGACAGAAATTTTTTATCTTCCATACTAAAATTTTAGCTTATTATTTTTTGCTTTATTTTATGTGTATACATGTACTGCCTGCATGTAGGTAAGTGCACCTCTGTCGTGCAATGCCCACGGAGGACAGGAGAGGCTGTCAGATCCCCTGGGACTGGAGTTAGAGACAGTTGATAGCTGCCATGTGGGTGCTGGGATTCGAAACTGGGTCTTCTGCAAGAACAGCCAGTGTTCTGAACTGCTAAGGCATCTCCCTAGCCCCATATTAAATTTTTTAAATTCTCAAATTGAGCTTAAGTGTCATATGCATACCATCACAGTGTTCTGAAAACTGGAATTCTCAGCAGAGGAAAGATGCAGATCTAAGATAAGATTAAGAAAAACTCCATGGTATTTTAAATTCAGTAAAAGACAAAATGAATTGTGCATTGAGAATCCCCAGAACCTGGACTTATAGGATCTATGACCTGACAAAAAGAAAAGATTTCAAATGGTGCTGGCAAAATTGGATCTCCACCTGTAGAAGAATGAAACTAGACCCTTTTCCTTCACCTTGCACAAAAGGCAACTCCAAACCTGAAACTCTGAAATCCTTAGAAGAAAACATAGGCAGTAACCTACAAGATATAGGTGTAGGAAAGAACTTTCTAAATTGGACATCAACTGCTCAGCAATAAAGGTCAAGAATCAAACAAGTGAGACCTCATTAAACTAAAACGCTTCTGTACAGCAAAAGAAACAACCAAGAAAGTGAAGAGAAAACCCAAGGCACCATAGCTAGTTGAGAAGCTACAGGCAGTCCACAGCTGCTCAAAGAGGGACAGTCAGTTTTCTTCACGGATGAGCCCCCCACCAATAGTACTCATGTGCATATGGGCAACACGAAAGGGACTTGGTAGGTTACATGTATATGTAATTATAGAAGAAATCTGAGAGGGAGGGTAGAGAGACATGGAGAACTGTGAAGGAAGGAGGGGCAGACATGATCAAAATGCATTGTACAAATGTATGAAATTCTCAAAAAATGAAAAAGAAGTATCAAAAAATGGTTGAGAATAATACAGGAAGACACCAAGGTTGACCTCTGGTTTCCACATGCCCTGGCATGCACACATGCACATATGCACAAACATGTATATGCAGCATACACATACATACATACAAACAAAAGTACTCTCTACAGAAGTATTCTACCTAATAAAGCAAACAAGAGCAGAATATCACAATTTCAAAATTATTAATATACTGACTGATCTATGCAGTGATATCTGTTAAGAACATCATTTTTTTAAAAAAGCAAGTCTATCATGTGTCTCGAAGTGAAAGACTTAAAAATCTTATTGTGCAATCTTTCTAATAAAAACAAACCTAAATCTTATCAAGACTGTAGCCCAAACAAATTAAATGACACTACAGAGACAGAATGGAAAAAAAAAAAAACTAGGAAACACTACAAGAAGTCTGAATCAGTGTGTTAAAAACCAATAAATTCTAAGGTTAGAGAAATGATGGAGTGCGTAAGAGCACTTGCTATGCAAGCGTAAGGATCTGGGTTCAGATCCCAGCATCCATGTGAAGATGATGAGTGTGCTTATGTCACACCCATAACCCCAGTGCTGTGAGGGGAGGAGAAAGACTCACTTGAGCTTGCTGGCAGCCAGCAGACTTCAGGTTCAGTGAGAGACCCTGTCTCAAGGGAGGAAGGTGGAGAGTAATAGAGCAGGATATCAAGCACCCTGCTCGGGCCTCTCCACATGCATGCATACATAGCTGCAAACACACATGCATATGTAGCATACACACACACACACACACACACACACACACACACAAAAGAAACAAAATGTCAAGGATAGGGTTGCTAAAGTGGAATCTACTATCAATTAAAAGTATTGAGACAATTTGCCATTTGCAAAATGAGATTCATATTTAGAAACAGTTTGAAAATGAAGTAAAACAGACATCAGAAGGACTCAACTCTCCACTAAGAGTATTTGGCTAACAATCAGGCATTGCAATGGGAT